TGGAAAAGTTTTACTGTATTTACCGGGCGACAAAGGTCACTGCAATAATTGCAGTCTTCGTTCGCAAAAAGCGCGTGCTTTTCTGACTCGGCGAAGTAACAAATGAGACGCTTATTCGCATGCGTCCATACCTGTGAGAATGTTTCGTGCGTAATTTGTGCGCGAGAATTGCGGGGAACGTTTCAATCTGCCTTTAATTCTGCGTGTGACCATTAAAATGGTTCATATCGCGTTCATTACTTCCAATTTGCGGCAAATCAGTGACTTTTTTGGCACAGCACTGCACCACGGTAGTTGCAAACCACTTTTTTGCGATACCGTGATTGTTGGTAGAAACAGAAATGAAATGACAAGAGAGATTATCATGGCAGACATTCCTAAACAGAAGTTGAATTTTTAAATACTTAGACCTTCCTAAAACATTTGATCTCTCGTTGACAAAACAACTCGTTGAATTCCAACAAACTGCTGGCGTAATTTATTCTTTGACGGCGAGTAAGAATTCTTCCTTATCAACAATACGTTTGTTGGCATATAAAACACTCGTCCATCATGTTTAATTATATGCCATCATTATATAGGACCTGTTCACACAAAAAAAGTTTGTTGGCATATAAAACACTCGTCCATCATGTTTAATTATTGGCCGTCATTATATAGGGCCTGTTCACAAAAGAAATATGCCGTTATTATATAGAACCTGTTCATAAAAAAACGTTTCTTGGCATATAAAACACCCGTCCATCATGTTTAATTATATGCCGTCATTATATAGGACCTGTTCATAAAAAACGTTTGTTGGCATATAAAACATGCGTCCATCATGCCTAATTAATATATAGATATGTGGAGTTTAACGTCCTAAAACCACCATATGATTATGACAGACGTTGTAGTGGAGCGCTCCAGAAATTTGACCTTCTGGGGTTCTTTAACGTGCACCCAAATCTGAGCACACGGGCCTACAACATTTCCGCTTCCATCGGAAAAGCAGCCGCAGCAGCCGGGATACATCATGTTTAATTATATGCCGTCATTATACAGGACCTGTTCAGAAAAAAAAACGTTCGTTGGCATATAAAACACTCGTCCATAATGTTTAATTATATGCCATCATTATATAAGACCTGTTCACAAAAAAAAACGTTTGTTGTCTTATAAAAGACTCGTCCATCATGTTTAATTATATGCCGTCATTATATAGGACCTGTTCACAAAAAAAAAAACGTTTGTTGGCATGTAAAACACGGGCCCATCATGTATAATTATATGCCGTCATTATATAGTACCTGTTCACAAAAAATTGCTCAGAAAGGCTACAAAGTTTACAGAAAAAAACTGTTAGAATAATATACAACCCCTACGGCCGCACTTCAGTCACTAAGCTCGTACGCCAATGTGGCAGACCTGCTTTGAGTCATCAAAATTGTGTATGTGGTTAAAATTTTTTAGGTAATAAAAGGTCGGTAAAAGATCGAAACGTCACATCTTGCATATGTGACATGTTATGGCACCAGGCACGCACACTCATTAGGTGTTAATTCATTCATTACATGCGTCAATCTTTCTCTACTGATCTTTTTTTTTCGTACGGTAGTTGATTGAAAAAAAAAAGCTGGCCAATAAAAATTCACATAGGACACACTCTCATAGTTTGAATCATGTCTTCAGTAGTAAGCCCTTTCCATGTTTCGCTAAGATGCTTCACGCGCTTTCTTTGTTTCCCTTGTGTTAATGTATGGTCTCTTTGATTTGAAAACTGTTAGAAGAACTTCACTTGCCATTTATTCCTGAAAGTGCATGTGCGGAAAATTTCATGTGATAATTTTCTATTGGTAATGTTTTGTTATGTTCACCGAATATGTACTACGCTGCCAACTACTTGTATGATTTAGCAGTATATAAATAAATAAATTAATAAATAAATAAGCGCGTCAAGACCCTGAAAGCATCCTGTGAAATTTGGAAGAATCTCACGTGACCAAATTTTTTCTCTTGGTTGTTCTGAAAGCATTGTTTGCGCTGCAATAAATCTGCACAGTTTCTTTGGAAAACATTTGCGCCATCGGGCAAATGGCTGGGACATTTAGCGTAGAATGAGTTATATACAACAGAAAAGAAGAAATGGGTAAAAAGCGTAAAAAGTGTGGCACTATTTCTGGCTTGTTCGCGCTATTAACATTGCAAAAAACACAATCGCAAAGTTTCTGAACAAACACACACACACACACACACACACACACACACGCGCATATATATATATATATATACACTCAGTAAATGTAACAACTTCGACATTAGAAAACCACAACAATGGACAAGGTAATGTATTTGGGGTTTGATTGAAATTTGTTTTTAATAGAACTCTACATTGCGAACGTACCGCTCGTCAATGCTGCATCTACAATTATCTTTAGTTATTGAGATGACTGGTTCCTTCGACAGAAGTAGGGCCAGGCTGTTCTGTACTAAAAATTCATTTTTTGAATCCTAAAATAAACACAGAAGTAGTATTGGCTAAAAGTTTCACAAAAAGTGCTACATACAATACGTGCCCTGCATGAGGAATCGCTCTCTTAGTTATGTGTAAGAACACATGCATTGAAAGCCAGCACATTCAATGCCATTATTTTCCACACAGTGACAAATGCAAGAACGGGTATTCTTGAGGTAAACGCAATGCACTGTGGCAGAATTTTTATATCTCTCATGCCGCAGATATGATCCTTACTTCCCCATTTTAGCTGCGTAGCGCAGGCCAATACAAAGGTTCACCTCGTAGACAATAATAATTCATTAGCTGTGTGTATCGACAAAGTTCAAGCGAATAAGAAGCTGTATGCTTAAGTATGCATCCACACAAACACATATGTCGTTCTACAGATCTACCACGGTACTCATAGGCTTTCTTTCTTATATATTAATAATTATCTTACTTAAATTATCGCTTAAGGTTGGATACCCTGTCTGAGACGGGCCCATATTCTTAAACAAACATTGATTTGAATTTCATCCTTCATTTGACGAAGTTGGGCACAGTACCACTGCTTGACTGAAAATGATGCTGCACTTCTGAAAAAGTATTGCAGATCAATGCTAATATGCAGTGACTTTTTCGGCCTTGAGGTGGGGATCCCATATACTTTCTCAATTCAAGGTGATGCGTTCAGTGAAGGGATGTTCTGGAATACGGGGGTCAGTAATTCAGCATGACTGAAATAAAAACAAAAAGTGCAATGAAACGCGCAACGGAGTGCAATGTAACGCGCAGGACATAGATATTTTATTTGTTGCTTAAAAGGACAATGCGACTGAATTGATGACGGCAAGCAAATTCATACGGTATCAAGTCCAGGTAGCATGTAAACTAAAGTAGCATGCAGCTGTGTGTTTAATTATGCATGAAACTAGGGTTCTTCAAGTCGAACTCATTGAGACAAAAGTATAATGTAAAAATTGCTATTTATCTGAATGAGTATTGCATACAGCTTATTTATGGCCATTGCTATCATTGATGCTGGTTAGCTAAAAACAGAACTCCTTCATAATGCATCAAAGCCTGTTCAGTGGCTGTGCGTGAAAAAAAGGTGGAAATGCTGAGACTTACAAAGCAGCGATGAGAAATTTCTTGCCATCAAGCAAGGTATGTAGGCTTCTCTGACAATCTACAGCAACGAGATTCCTGAAAGATATTGACAGTAATTTTGCAATACAAAATAATCATTTGATGACACTATTTCCTGAAGTGATTTAAATATTTTTGGGCCAAGACCCTGAAAAAACGTGGCTAATTGTCTTTTCTACGAAGCGGTATAGAAATAAAAGTGAAACGTTTAGCAGAGGTTTTTGGGCCTTTATTTTGCTTTATTTCGCCACAAAGGCGAACAAATAAGTGATCCAAAAACAAATTGCGAAGTCACGCGAAGAGCGGCAAGTTGCTGCGCGCCCCTCCACCACAAAGTACGCACGAAATAAGCAATAACAGGGTAGACTTACAACGGTCACAGCTTGACGCTTAAATCGTGCCGTGCAAATACAAGGAAAACGCCAGAAACGAACACACACATGTTTATTTATTTATTTACTTATTTATTTATGTATTAAAAATACCTACAGCACCCAAAGGCATAAAATACGCTTACACAAAAAGAAGTACTCGAAAACAAGATGAACACAAAACAGATCATAACAAAAATGCAGCTATGACAGTAGCAATTTGTCCCTGAAAGATGTTTCAGTGCAGCAGTCTGCAACCTCCTGTGGAAGCCGATTCCACAGGGATATTGTGAGCGCAAAAAAGGAGTGCTTTATAAATGTTTGTTCTGCAGAACATTCCATCTAATTTTAGGGGTGGTGAGTTCTCTTAGATGAAAATGTGGAATCGAAAGGTAAGATTCTTTATTTATTTTGATCAACCCATGAAATACTTTGAATAGCATTTGCAATCTAAAATATTTCGAATGTGATACTAACAGATCACACCCTAACCTATCCTTGAGCGCAGTGACACTGACACTGCAGTCATAGTTGCTAGTGACAAAACGAGCTGCGTGGTTTGTGTGACCTCGAGGATATTAGACAGTTTTGTTTGTGGATACCACGCCACACAGGTGTACTCTAAGATCGCTCGGACATTCGAAAAGTAGAGTAGTTTTCTGATTTTGGAAGGAGCTAACCGGAAGTCCTGCTTAACAAAGTTTAACATTCTGCAGGATCTCGCTGTGACGTATTCAACGTGCTTAGTCCAGGTAAGATTCGATGAAAAGCAAACACTTAGGTATTTATACTCAGTTACTCGCGTTAGCTGCATGGTACCTAATGTGTAATGATACAGGTATGGGTTGTGTTTACGAGTGAAGGAGAGGCACTGGCACTTCTTAAGGCTGGTGCACACCGGCGACTAGTCGCGGTCGCGCGACCATTTGCGACTGGTCGCAAGCAGTCGCGAACGGTCGCAAGCGGTCGCAAAGCGACTGTTTGGGCCAGTCGCTTCCTGACCGATTTTTTGGTCGCGCGACTGCAGTCGCAAAACAGTTTAACCAATCAGCGAAGACCAGAAGTGACGTCAGTCTTTGTTTACATCCGGTCTCCTCGTATGTTTTTTTTTTTCCTCGTTGCGCTTGCCTACTGCCGTGAGGTACGAACGACACGTACGTTCCTCCATGGATTCTTCCTCGCATCAGGCGAATGCCACCACGGCCAGCTTTGGGTAGTCGGCCGAGCTCCTCATCGACGCGACTAAAATGTACCCATATCTGTATGACAAGCGGCACCCTTCTTTTAAAGATCGGACAAAGAAGGACCGGGCTTGGGCAGATCGAAGCATGTTCGGCATGTCGAGTAAGTACCGAGATTTTTTGTTTGAGTAGCTATATAAGCAAAAACAGGTGTGTACTGCATGGCTGGCGTTGCCAATGAATGAACAATGAAAATATTGGTATTTGTACTGCAAGGTTACATGGTTAGTTTGCATGAGATGTATTGACTGTGATGTATGCGAGCGCAGTTGTGTGCATGTTTGTTCTCGCGACTTCCCGAGTTTAACATCGAAATCGACGTGACAGAACATTGTATAGCTGATCATAAAGCTCAGACGTTCGAAATACTGCTCGCAGTTGCCAACTCACATGCGCATGCTCCTTGCTGTGTTTGTACGTCATCGTCTGGCGAACGGAATGTGTGCTTTTGTGAACGTGCGGCATTTGCAATGCATAATATCTAGTGCGCGGTGAGGGAGGGGGGGGGGGAGTTACGCTTTAATTTTGCCTATGCATTGCAGTTGTGCTGCTTTAAAAAAGAATGCAAAGTAGCTTCTGCTTTGAGCGCATTTTGTGCACTCCACAGAGGAGCGTGTAATTAAAACATGAAAAACATGTTTAGCAGCACTCTCAAATGTCCGGATTTGGGAGTCAGACATGCTGTTGATGCCAAATGACATGCAATCGTAAAAAAAAAAAAGATATGGTAGTGTTCTAGTGGCTGGGCGAACACTGAAGGAAAGCACAGATGGGGGAATTTATTCCTCTGTAATGTGGCCCAAATCTAATCCTCATTTCTTCACAACTGCTCCTTTCCTCTCCTGTGTTTTTGTCTATTGGTGCCTTTATATTTTATTCCCCGAGGTTATCTCTCCGCTTTCAACTGTGCCTCGTTTTTGTTTGTTTTCTTTGTTCCTATATTTTAAAGTCAATTTTTCATGTCTGCTTCTATGTGTTGGTATGTTTTCATGTTTTGGTCCCTTTATTTTCTTATATTTTCCTTCCTCTCGCTCTCTCTATGTTACACTTTGAGTCATATACTATGTTTGTTGCATTTCTTTCTCTCGAAAATTGTCATCTTGCTCTAGTTAGTTTCATTCTTCTTTTCAAGTTATTTAACATGTTTGCTTTTGTTTGACAACAATCGCTCCCGCTGTACACGACAGTTGCGCTTGGCCGATACCAATGGTATATACTCACCTGTGGAGTTTTGCGCAATGCAGTAATGCTTAGAAAGCTTCACTGTGAAGGTGATAAAGACATCATGTGCTGGTTCATGAAATAGACTTTTTGCAAGTGAACTTCAATTTCCGACAGTATAAACAGCCTCTTTGTTACAATAGCTTGGCAGACATGCTTACCTTCAAGAAACAGTGTACATAACTCTTTGCGCAACTAATCATTGCGTCAGCTGTGATGTCGTGCACATGTAGGTGGACGGTCTAAAACACTAGGTGGGTAGCATTTCTGGAACCCTCGGCTGCAGGTTCCCTCAATCATGTCGTGGTTTTGCAATGTTTAAGCCCCTACCAATAGTTAAGTTTAGATGGCATGCGATTCATTTTGTTGCCCAATATTCAGATTTCTAGGGTGCTGCAGCCAAAATGATCTGGGCAAAGAAAATAAAGACCGCTCACAATTGTGCTGAAATAAAGTAGAAAATTTATCAGCGATACAGTATGCACAATACATTCTTACAGCAAGGGTTTTGTTTTCAGGTGTCCTTGTTGAGAAACGATTTAAGAACCTGCGTGATATCTTCAAAAGGAAACAACACGACATACGTGAAAAAACAAAGAAGTGGAGCCGGAGCAGCCGACATTCCAACAATAAAATGGCCCCATTTTGAGGCCATGCTTGAATTAATGGAAGGAGAGTCTGAGCCTGTGGCGTAAGTTCAATATTAGCTGACTATTGAGTACTAAACAAAAAAAAAGTTGATTTAATTCACATGACTGTTATACATACACATAAATACTCACATATCAATACACATAAGTACACTGCACATAAACATAGAAGTCCCAAGAGGTAATTCACAGTGGGCATGCATGTGATCATGAACATGATGGCAATGGGCTGTTTTGATGTCGAATAACTGTGGCTACAGCTACGAAGAATAACTCAGTGCATCATTCTTTCTGGATACTGTGCAACATGAGTGCCATTGACCAAAGGTAATGAATAATGCTTACCGTCCATTGAACAGAAAATGAAATGTTTTGGTTAGCATAGCACAATGCATCAGCACAACGCATCAGCACAACGCAAAAAATATAGCATACCGTACAAGTGGCACGTGGACAGCTTCACAAAACAGAATATTGAAGACAGAACAGTAAGAATGAAAGAATTGAGTGTACTTCTGTGTCATTCTCGGCTCTCATTTACCAAAAAAAGAAAGGCTTAATACAAAATATAAAAATCTAAAGAGATCGCTTATTGCATGTGTCATGAGGCTGTTCATAGACAAGCATTGCACATATTCATTACAAGAATGCAGCATAAGTACTTATATTGTAGCAAAACAGTGAAAATGCTCTAAAGATGCACACAATAGCACTGACAGAATCACATATTGCATGTTCTCTTGCAGCAGCCACATCACAGCAGAAGAGGCTAACGAGAGGTGAGCATGCACAAAAATTTTCGGTACCATGTGCATGCACTTGAAGCTGTACATGCATGGACTTGAACCTAGAAACATTATTTTTTATTACTAGGTGATTGTACTTTGCAAAATTATCAAAAATACAAGCGTGCTTGAAAGGTGGTGTTCAGGTCGTTAGCTTGCCCAAACCACTGCATTTTTTTCAATACATTCAGCACTCAACACTGAACAGAAGCACACCGAAATACATGAGGGCACAGGCATTGTTTCTGTGTGAATGTGGTTATTTTACAACGTCAAATATTTCTGAAAAAGCAAAGTATTCATCAGCAACAGGCTGCAATTACTTTTACTTCATCTCCGTGACAATATCTCTTGTTCTCATTTAGATGTGCAGCCTACATAGCATTTTATTAACATAATAGGCACAATAAACTTCTGTATGCACACCTTCCATACAGCAGTGCTCAATCAAGAGGTAACGCAAGTGTAAAATAAACTTCGTGTTGAGCGAAATCATAATGGCATTTTAACTCCCAAAGAATGCCTAAAACTTTTCATGTACTAGCGGCATCATCAAATACATAGAAAGAAATTTTAATCACTGCAGATCACCGCCTCGGCCAAGACATGCAGCGGAACCGGAACGTACCCCTGATACGGCTGAGGAGACTCGTGTCGACACCTGCAGCAATGAGTAAAACCTTTATGAATCCACCTAAGTAATGACAAATGAAGGGCATGCATAGATAGCCAATCTATTAAATCTTAAAAACATGCATGTTCTAGCACATTTGAAGAATGTGCCTAATGTTTTTTTTTTTTTTTTTTTTACAGGTATCTTACAGGCCCTTGGTTAGGGCATTGAGTAAGGGGGGCTAACAAAGACATGTACAACAAGTAAAAGGGCGAAAGGTGCCAAAACGTAAGCTCGAGACATGAGTAACAAATAAACAAGAAATAAGTAAGTATAAATTGACATCATACATCGTTACCAAAAAACAAGAAAGATGCAGTTCATGGCACGCAGCAGTTAGGAAGTGTACAATACGTGTAAGTTAAATTGGCACAGATTGTGGTATAATACACTGGGAAAATCATGAAAGCGCTTACAGGAAGTGTGAACAGTTCGTCCTAAGCAAACAAAAATAAAGCACAAAAAATAAGGGGGCAATAAGCGCATTAGAAAAAAAACTTTTTGCACAGCATTATGAATGTCATATACATACAAGAACGAAGCTGTGAACATAAAATTATCAACCAAAATGTAAGACCAATTTGTTGCGGAAGGAAACAGGGTTAGTGTCAGATACCAAGTTATCGGGAAGATCATTCCACAACGTGATGGCACGAGGCAAAGCGGATGCGTTAAAAGAGTTCGTTTTGCCGTACATGCGCGAGAAACTAAGCCGGTTGTGTAGTCTAGTTGATAAATAGGAGGGTCGTTCAATTGGAAGTCTGGTCATTTTAGTGCTATTGACGTATTTATGAAAGAGGCATAAAAGAGAAATGTTGCGGCGAGTGGATAATAATTGAAATGAATAATCCATTTTAAGTTGTGTTACGCTGCAGGAGAAATTATAATTACGAGAAATGAATCGGACTGCCCTATTTTGAACTGCTACATGCACCAGATTTTGCTACATGCAATTTTTCACACCAGATTCTGCTACATGCAATTGCAACACTTTATAAGTTGTATAATAATACTGCCTCCTCCTGCGGTGATGCTTCAGCAACCACCTCAAGAGAGCAGCCACCATCAAAACGGTGTGTAAACAAAAAAAATTATTTTAGGTACTTTTGGCAAGAGATCACAACCACAACTTTTCGAAAAGGATCACTTTCTGTACATTTAAGTAATATGTATAATTCACTGCAGGTCACGCTCGTCATGCAGACTGTATCAGGAGGTCAAGACCTCGTCAGGCTATTTAGCCTTTAGTCTTTGCCTCCCGCAGGAAAGTTTTTGTATTTTTTTTTATTCTTTCCTGCAAAAATAAACTTTGAAACTTTGAAACTTTGAAGACGACAACGGACCTGCGAGGGCGCTAGGTGAGATATACCCCTAACTCTTAGAGGATAAACTTGCAGATTTTTTTCTAACAATCCTGCGCATGCTACAAAACACAAAACTTTATAAGGTTCACGCTCGGTCAAGTTGGTACACAGACAGAGTAACAAAAAAGAGTGTGAGAACGACAAGGTAGAAACAGAAGAAACAGGACAGAGCACAGACTTTAAACTGATGTTTTTATTGTGGACACATTTATACTAAGGTAGACAGAACCCATGTAACTACCGTAATATTTAGACGTTAATATCAGAACATCAGCACCCTGTCCCAAAACACAAGTGTCCGTTTCAAAGATCAAAAGCCCATTTATTTCTCACAGAGAAGTAGACGCCCTATTGACACATTTATCTTTTAAGTGTGCTATTTAATTTGCTTCAGTTGCTCTATATTTTTTTCTTTCTTAGTGCCGAAAATCACAAACATTAGCTGAAAGTCAGTGCTCTGTATTGTTTCTTCTGTTTCTACTTTGTCGTTCTCACACTGTTTTTTTTGCTAAATGGTGCTTTATGAAGTAACAATGCAACCTTAAAGCATTTGCATGAATCGCAATTCACACTTGCTTTGCAGCAATGCAGGAGAGGGCACAAGCCATGAAGCTGTGGCGCAAGCGTGCATGGAGCACCTTGAACACATCAGAGCGAACAAGGGGGTCATCAAAAAAGATAACATTGGTTTCTTCGCTCTACGTACCGATGCACCCCTCAGAGAGCTACCAGTGCACATTGCACAAGATGTAATGCATGCAGTAGAACTTATGCTGTATGAAGCAGAGGCAAAATTGCATCAGAGCAGTGAAGCAAATTGAAGTGTTTATATATATAAAGTCAATGACACCCACCTTTTTTTATCTTGTGTTCACTTTTCTAGTCCTAACTTAAAGGGGTCATGACTGGTCACTCAACAATTGACGGTTGTCAGCAAAAAACAAAACTACAGAGTAAAATGTGCTAGTACACGTGTGAAAAGGGGCCTTAAGAGATTATTTTAGTCAAAAATATGCCGTAGAAGTGCTCGGCTCCTAAAACTCAACCTACCACAAGTGACCGCCATTTTGTCATGGCGTGCGCGACGTCACAAGCCGAAGGAGCAGTGGCAAATGGTATACGCATTGCACATTCACGAAATTATTTGCTGCAAGTACCAACGCTACATTGCTGACACAGTAGCCATGTTTCGACCCCTGGAAGTCATTTAGCTTTAGTGGAGAGTTCAACAATGCAAAAAAATTTGATTGCAAACGCAGCTGATGACAAAACACGACCGTCTGCCAGAATGCACACTGTGCAGCAGCTTGTCGAGCAAGCGGTTCGTGATGTCATGGATAGTGAGTGCATCAGTATTGCCCAACTGTCAGGCGACTAGCTCGTTTATAAAAATATGCGATTAAAAATTAGCAGCTTGACCAAATCGCTCGAATTTCACCAGCTTGTATGTGAACATACAAGAATCAGCTCATGCAACACACATTATGGTTGAAAATTGGGTGTCATGACCCCTTTAAGGCCACTTATTTCTGTGATAATTATAGCGATAACCGTGCAATAACTCAAATATTTTAACATGAATTATTTATTTTTGTGTTTTCATGGTTATATTTGGACATGACAGTTTTCCCTGTAATGTATCTGTTGTGTCACGGGTGATTTTTTTCTTCTTTGTTTAGCTTAAGAAGATGCTATGTACATAAGTTCTGTAAGCAATAAAATGCATTTACAACCCACCTTCACCTTGTACGCCTCAAGTGCTGTTCACCACTTTGTCCTGCCAAGGCACCTGACCGTCTGTGACGAAGTAGTGCGCCAATTTATCTCGCACTTCCTTGGCATACCTACAACGCATAAGTGCCATGTGAAATTTCTGTCGGCACAGCCATGATGGAAGACACACACTGTAAAAGGAACATGCTGAGCTTGAAAATCTCACACATAGTTGCATTTCAGTGTCGTAGTCATGACGCTACATTGCCAAAGTGTTCCTCATTTTTATGTATTAATGAGTGCTACCTCTGCTGTCTATTTTCTACGACATCATCACAGCTTCTGATAGAATGCATATTTGCTGACTGACTTTAGAAATTTCGATATGTCAAGTTTCATGGCAGCCAAGGTCAGTAACTGCTCGCATTTGGACAAAACAATTGTACACTTTTGAGAGAACGATTGCCCTGTACAGTTAAACCAAATTAAGGCTGGTGCACACCGGCGACTAGGAGCGGTCGCGCGACCATTTGCAACTGGTCGCGAACGGTCGCACTGCTTGTGCACTCTGCAAGCTGTCGTATATGCAGTGAATATTTCTGTGCCTACACATTTTAGCGAATCATAAGCATGCATCAACCTTTTCATGGAAGAGCGTACGTGCTCATATGACTCAGGTTGAAGAAGGGCAACCTAAATGTACCTGTAGCAATTTCCTTAGCATGGATTTCTGAAAAGCTGTAAATTCAAGGAGAACCTATTTCGCAAAACGTACATCACTCAAGTCAATTGTTCAAATTGCTTTCACACAATGTGCTACCGTCCACAATACGTTTTGCCACTGCGCTACAGTCCACAGTGTATTGAGTCACTGTCATTTTAACAGAACATACGTATAATTGTAGCAAGGTGCAGGGGTTAAACACTGCCTATGTTTGTGAGAAATTTCGCATGTGTACTTGTGCAAACACACACCGTCGTGCATGCAGATACATAAAGGGTGGTTGGTTGAACCTCCTCCCTCCCCGATGCTGAAAAATATTTTTGGCATGAATACTCTTTTAGTGCCTCGAACAGCACATCAATTTGTCCTAACAATTTGTGCATAATTGTACTCGCAAAGCTTAGGATTGTGTTTCACTTATTTTATAACATCATTAATAATTGCGTTCTATATAGTACCTGTGCATCAGGATAACAGAAAACGGGAACTGACCGGTCCACAATGTAATGTCATTGTGTAGCGCAGAATCCCATTTTCTGGGATTTTACAAGCGGAAACCACGTACTGATTACGCAATAAGCAACAACAGATGGTTTTGAAATATTCACCACCTGAGATTCTTAACGTACGTGCGCAACAAACGCGCCAACTTAAGTGCATTTCGCCTCCACCTAAAGGCGATCGATGCGGCCGTAATCAAACCCGTCACCTACGCGTAAACTGCCGGCCGCCGTAACGACTGCATCATCGAGCCCGCATACGTCATAAATGCAATTCGTTCTATCCGCCCAAGCAAAACTTCCTTACGAGCGAAGCGCAGCCGCAAGCCACAGCATATTAATCTTCAAACCACACGCTCTTACCTAATGGTCATGGCCAGGCAGTCGTGCGCCGAAATTGTAAGCCGGTGGTTTGTGTCCTGCTTGGATATTGCGGGGCGCAGCAGTTCGAGCACAGCATCGAACGTTCGTGGCGGCATCCGCATGAAGCTAACTACCAAAAATAGAATGAGATAACATGTTATGCACTATCTTATAAGCACGTAAAACAACCATAAACTTACTCTCGGAAATTCTCCTCGTCGTGCGAGCGCAAGAGCAGACGCCCTGTGTGGACGGCCACTTCTCGCGAGCGAAGGGACGGTCTCACCCACCATCGCCTTGCTTGCTTTGAAGGCTTTTGTGCTGACACGTTGGCTGAGCACATCAGCACCGCCACAACCTCTTCTTCATCACTCGACTCGAAGTCTATGATGCTGCCGGGAGAACGCTACGCAAACACAGCCGTCAAAAACAAACGCATCGCGCTCAGCGGGCTCCGTATCTGATCAGCTGATCGTCGCCGGTCGCCCAAGTTCTCGTTGATAACGAGATCTGTACGTGACTCTCCGGGTTTGCGACTTCCGGTCGCTCGCATGAATCCTTGCCGGTGTGAACGTCGCTCGCAGTTTGGTCGCCAGTCGCAAATGGTCGCGCGACCGCGGCTAGTCGCCGGTGTGCACCAACCTTTAGGGTTTAGACACATACGCCACTTATCACATTCGTGAATAATACTGTCTAAATTATGTTGCAAGTAGTGACGGTCTGAGGTGTGTCTGATACAGTGGTAAATCACACAATCATCTGCATACAGACGTACTTTGCATGACACATTGTGAGCAATGTCGTTGATGTACACTAGGAACAGCAATGCTCCCAACACAGATCCCTGTGGAACTCCCGAAGTAACAGCCACATATTCAGATTGAGAACCTCTAATTATGACACGTTGCATCCAGTCTTGTAGATAACACCTGATACAATCAAGCAATGCAGGAGTAATACCGAGGGATGAGAGTTTATGTAGCAGCTTAAAATGCGGCACAGAATCAAAAGCTTTATGAAAGTCCAGGAATATGCAGTCCTTCTGCTTCCCAAGGTCAAAAGAGCAAAAAAGATCATGACTGAATTCAATGAGCTGTGTTGAACAAAAAAGACCAGACTGAAATCTATGCTGAGATTCGGTAAAAATATTGTTACTTTCTAGATGTTTCATTAAAACGCTGTAGACTAATGTGCTCCATTGTTTCGCTGCACACCCTCGTTAGAGAAACTGTCCTGTAGTTACAGACGATATTTTTTGGGCCACCCTTATGTATCGAAACCACATTCGCGACTTTCCATTCACTAAGTAAACAAATAAGTACGCAATGATTTCTCAAAGATTATAAGAATGTAATAGATAATTACATCAGAGCAAACTTTTACCATATAAGAGGGTATGCCGTCAGAGCCATTTGCAGAAGAAGCTTTTATTTTGTCAAGAACTTAAGTACACCACCGTGTGTTACCATCAGCTGCGGCTTGGGTTCAAAGATATTGTCAGGAATGCACGGTACATCACTGTGACAAGGGTGCGTAAAAGAAGCTTGAAAACAGTGATTCAAACCAGCTATATCGGTGTCATCAATTAAAACTACACAACCACTGTTTATGGTAGGGATGCCAGTTAATTCTTCTCTGATTGATTTAAAACACGTTTACATTTATTTCGGGTTATTTTGTTACTTTGCGCCCAATGCTATGAAATACTTTTCCTTGCCAATTTTGTTTTTTTTTGTTTTTATATATTTTACAAGCGACTTTAACACCATGATTACACCAGGATTGCGTTGCTTTCTATAAAAATTCAGGAGACGACGTCTCTTGTTGATCATTCGCTTGACTTTCGGAGTCACCCAAAGTTTATCAATACGTGTTTACGTTGTTTGGCAGACAAATATTTACCTGTGACATGTTTGTTGTCTATCTGCTCTAGTGTGAAGCAAAATGTATCCCACAGGGTGTGGCAATCTGTGGACTGAGCTAAATTATTGAATTCCTGCAGAAAAGTGGCAAGCTCATTCAATAACCAACAATTATTTCCTTTATCAAAAAGATATATCTTCCTTGGACTATCATGCTCTCAAGAAAAAGGGGACTATCTATACGTGGGCCACGCTACAGTCATGGTCACTAATATTAATTAAATATAAATCTTTTGCTAAGTCGTTATACTCACGCTATTTTATGGCAATTCGATTGTCTATAAGGGATTCATACAATTTTGGAACACTCAACAATTGGCCTGACTATGGTCTTGTAAGCTAGGCATTTTATATCAGAGAGACAACGGTAAAGTTTACGCAAGGTTACGCCCAGCAAACCATGTAATGTCCAGTACACATCACATAAATATCAACCATATGATATTTTTAGCTTCAATAGATGTCCACAAAAGTTAATTTATTATTTATACAATATCTAGAGGATGTTCATTTTGAACAGAGTGGACCTCCATATAATGTCCACACCAGTTCCACGCACGAATGACATAATACTGGCAATATTAAGACAATATTTAGAGAATGTCTGTTTTGACGAGAGTCAACATCCACAGATTGTCCACAGCAGTTCTACAGAAATATTGATATATATCAAATGACATTTATTTTTAGGTGCAGCGACGCACTCATGTATACCATCTGGGGTTTTATGTCCCAAAACCATAGTGGAGGGCTCCGGAAATTTTAACCATGTGGTGTTCTTTAACGTGCTCCGACATTGCACAGTACACGTACCTCTACAATAGGGAGTTTTAGTGCTGGGTACGCATTCTCTTGGGGCGATGCGGGCTTGGAAGCGCGCGGCGTTGCGTGCCCAACCCATACCCAACCGGAATGCCTTTTAGTTGGCGCCATGGTGGCACGCACGCAAACGCAAGCCGCACGAAGGTCACACGTGCTCGCAGCGCCGTAGCGTCTTGTCGCGTAAGTATTATTTAATTATTTTTATGATTGAAAATGTAAAATTAAACATACATAGTGATCAGGACACTTTTTTTATTGTGTACAGTATCCTGGTATACGCAAAAAGTAAAAAAAATACAAGGTTACTATAACGACAGTGTCGACATCTTGTGACACTTTGTGCAACCACAGTCAAGAACTTGTTAGCTTACGCGGAATGCTTTTGAGATGAAAACAAATAAAAACGTTACTCATTTGTAATATTGTCGCTGCGCAGTTTTTGCATCACATGTACAATGCACAATGTTTCTGCAATAACAATGTTGTGATTGTCTATTTCAACATAGCCGCGCTAGATGCCGCCACCTATTCAGCTGGTCGGGGCTGGCATATATTTAGTTTCCATGTTCCAGGCCATTCTAGCTTTGGTAATCTGGCTGAAACTGTGTAATCGCTGTAAGTGCTCGCAGTTTGGCTTATTTTAACTCGACGGCTAGAGTATCCGCAGTGCGGATGCCGTGAGTTCTTGCGAAGG